AAAAAATCACGCCTTAATGAGTACAATAAAAATTGTGGTGCGGGACACACGATCAGTTCGACTTACTCTTATACAAGATGGCTTTGGATTAGTAAGAACATGAACGACATTTGTAACAATTATGAAGATGTTGCTGACTATGTCAATAATCACGTTTTTGATGAATTGTGTGAAGAATTTGAAAATAAAAGAATTGTCATACATAATAATTGTGTTGGTTTTGGTATGAAAAAAGCAACAAAGAACACGAGAAAAACAAGTGATAGATTTGAAGGCGCAAGTGGAAGTGATAACGCAGAAGAAGCTGAAACAAATTTAGAAGAAATATTTATCGCGGAATTGGAGGAGACAAAAAGGAATTTTAGAATGGACCATCCTTGTATAAAAAGTCTGTTTTTTAAAAGTAGAGAAATTTTCTCACACCTTTTCGAGATTGTTGCTTCTCTTCAAGAAGACAACTGTCTTCTGTTTGAGTATATAGAAAGAATGGAAATGTTTCAAATTCATGTAGACAGTCTAATCACAGAAGTCGAAACGGGTAATTTGAAGCACTTCAGAAACATCAAAGGAATTATTGAAAGAAACGACGAGTTCATGTTGAGGGTATTGTATCGTTTAAAATGCCAATTACAACTTAGATTTCACCAAGTTTCCCAATCCGTAAACATGAACACAATTAACGACTTACTTGTAAATTGGAAAACTGGAATTGTCGATCAAGTGATTTATGAAGACAATCCAAATTTTATGTTCTACTCCGAACTTATTGAACTGTTTTATTTCCCAGACGATATTGTAAATGGAATCCAGCCAAATTATTTTTCTAAGAAACACCAGTTTGGAGACGTTTTTGATGAAGAGTTGTCTAAACTTAGCGATGCAATGTGTTTAATGAATGATGAAGAAATTAATAAACTTAAATTGAACATTAAGAAATCTGAAAACGAATATCACGAAAAGTTGGTAATAGAAACAAAACGTTGTAGGAGGCTTTCTTTGCTTGAACTGTTTGACACACTTGAACAACTTAACCTTGTAAATCTTCAGAGTGTTGTTCACTGTTTGGTCTGCATCTTTCCAACATCGGTGAGTGTTGAACGTTTTTTCTCGAAACTCAAAGTTATGCGCTCTCAAAATATGTTACTGAAGATGGCATATGAGCGTCTGTTTTATTGTATGGATAACAACAATGTATACTTTGTTATTTAATTGAATATTAGGTGTAGATTATGTTATTATTCAACAATTTCTTGTTATTTTTTATATAATTTAATACAATTTGTAAAAATAAACCCATAATTTGTGTTTAAAATAAGACTGTAATTCAAAGGCTTTTTAAAAATTTTAAACAAGTAATTTATTTGTTCTTAAGGTGCGTTTAGTTTGTATTAGTTTTTCATCGGTGTATATAATTTGACATTCTTTAATATAATAATCAAAAAAGTGTAATACAATGTTGTAGTTTAAATAATAAATTAGTTTAATAATTAATAATAATTAGTTACAATGATAGTATAAAAATACAAAAAATAATATAATAATGAATAATAATCAAATAACTAAAAATAAATGACAAGATATTTTTTATTTTTAACAAATCGAAATATTTACTATTTGTTAATAGTTATTAATAATATTTTAAATGATTTGTTTATCATAATTAAATGATTTTAAAATGTTATAAAATTGTTATAAAAATAATAACAATAATTGTACTATTATATATAATTTATATAATTAACAATTTTAATACAAATTTCAATTAATGTTCTATAAATTATAGTTAAATTATTAATTATTTATAAAATATATATAATAAAGATTTATAATTTGTTATACTATGTGTATAATAAATAATCAAACTATAATTTTATAAAATTGAAACCATTTTTTTTACTATTAACCTATAATTAGGAGGCACAATGAGGGGAGTTTAATAGAAATTTGCCTAAAAACATTTTGGTGCAAAAATTCAAAAAATTTTAGACCATGAACCATATACACAATTGGTCTTTTTTAAATCACCTTTATAATACAGACCTAGACAAAAAAATATTTTTTAAAATTTCACATTTTTTTCTGAATTTACACATTGTTGAATTGATTATATATTATCACTATTAACCTTAACAGATCGTGTTATCAATTTTCATAACTAAATTATCAACACAATCAAATGTTCAAATAAACAAAAATACAAAAATACAAAAATACAAAAATACAAAAATACAAAAATACAAAAATACAAAAATACAAAAATACAAAAATACAAAAATACAAAAATACAAAAATACAAAAATACAAAAATACAAAAATACAAAAATACAAAAATACAAAAATACAAAAATACAAAAATACAAAAATACAAAAATACAAAAATACAAAAATACAAAAATACAAAAATACAAAAATTACAACAGTGTTGATACTATAATAATTCTCAAATCAAATTACACTTAAATAATAGTTGTTTATTACATTGATTTTATTAATTGTAAATAATAACTTTTGTGTAATAATTATGATATACATTAAAACAAAAATAAACAATTATCATCAATTGCATTGTGTAACTACTTCGATGTACACAATTTTCGTGAAACAACTTTTGTTGATAATAACATATAAGACAGTTGTTATATACGATTATTCTTTTATAACTATCGTTTTCTTGTTATTCATGTAAAAACACAAAATTAAACATGTATACCTTAGTAACACCACAACATTTATTATTATATAAAATAGAAACATGTATTGATTATTAATTTCAATAATTAAATAACAACAGATGATATATCAGGGTTCACTGTTAATCACTACATTTTCATTTTTATAAAATTTCAAAAATAAAACGTGATAAATTTTTAGTGTGAAAACGTGTAACATCAAACCTGAACTTAAAATCATTACATTAAAATTACAAGAATAACACAGTTTAGAACATTTTTGCTTATAACTTGCTTCTCTCTCACATATATACATAAAATATAAAAATAAATATTTTATCATCAAAAAGTAAAAGCAGAAGATAAATAATTATATAATTTATTCCAGTTCTTTGTTGTGGTACATTAAGTTAGTAGTTTAAACAAAATGAATACACTTTCATAATTATTTCAAAAATTAATTCTATACATATTTATTTATTTTAACAGTTATTTCTCTAGATCATATATAAAAGTGAATTAAAACATAATTGTTTGTCTTTTTGGATTTATAATACGATGCATATATTATCTAAGCAATACACAAATATTCATTAACATTTAATTGCTTTCAAATTGAATATTAATAAAATAAAAAAATATTTTTAATTAAATTGATAAAATATATTTAATCGTATCTAAGAGACAACACCAATGTAATTGAAAAAACAAATTGGTTTATTATCATCATTTTTAATTTGTTCGCGTGTATATTTGATTATTTATCATAAACAAAATTAATGTGGTTGTCAGTTAATTTAACCAGTAAATATAATTTATTTAAACGTAACATGTACACAAGGGTGAGAACCACAAGTCGGTAAAATATTTATTTACATTCTTTTTATACTTTAATAATTTTTTATTTGTTTAGTTTGAAATTATATGTTTACACACTCAAAAAGTTAACATGTTTAATAATTAATTCATTTTTACAATAAACATGTAGAGTATATATATGAATCATTTTATATTAATTATTATAATAAAATCATTTAAAATTAACTGTATAATCATGTTATTATTTCACAATTAAAAAACAGTTGTGATGTCATTTTCATAATTGTGTTATTTATGTGTGTATTTAGACATAATAAATTAAAAAGATAATATATATTCAATAAAGTTATTTACATGTTATTATCAACAGTGAGTTATTGGAAAATAAAGGTTTTTAGTGTAGTTAAACAAAGTAAATGGTCACACCTGTTTCAAAAATAAAATTTATTTTCAATTATCTAAAATGTGTCAAAAACAATTATAATCTTTGGTTTATGTTTACATCAACAATTACATTTGAACATGATTGTTAATTATTTATTTATCATTCCATGTCTTGTCATATTGGTAACTATGTGTGTGATTATCAAAAAAATACATTTTTAAATTGAAATACAATTGTTAAAATATGAATATTATAAAAGAAATACGATTATTTTTTTGTTTACCAAATATTTTTTGTAATCACTTTTTTTTAACATAAAAAATAATTAATTAATTATTTTTTTATATTTATAATTATTTTAAACGCATTTCAAACCTTTTTTTACAAGTTCTTAATTATTTTACGTGATTTTTTGACTTCAAATAATTATTGTCAGCCCAAGCATTTTGATGAATCTTCAAGGCCACCTTTAGTTAGTAAAATAATTATAAAATTATACTTTCTATCGTGTTTATCAAAAAGTTTAAATGAACTTTTGTTGAAACCTAAATGAGAAAACACACATCCAGACGAAACTAAGAAACACGTAACACACCACAGCAACTCTCAAACACTCAGAGAAGAAATACAACTGATTACTTGCGTCATTTGAGATCCGAAGGTATGTTTGTTGAACAACTACTCGTTGATGAAACAAAACAAAATGTTATTCAAAGAATATTAGTTACTCCCAATTTATTTAATCTTCAAACTCTAAACCCACTTGACTTACATTTTGTAATGCCAGAAGTCACTGATTTTGTTGAAATAAATCTAAACAACATTAAGAGATTAACGGGTTTTCAGATAAAAGACTTTGTTGAGAAACATGAAATTATTAGCAGTTCAGTGTGCAGATTCTCTTTTAAGAATAACGGACACAATTTATGTGTTGAAACATGATCTGATAAAAAGTATTCATCAGAAATTTTGAGACATTCAAGATCAAACAATTTAAAAACTTACAAAAAATTGTTGAATTTAATGACACTCTTACACACCAACAAATCCTATTTTGATATTTATATGTGTTTGGGAATGAATAAAAAAATTCAAAAATCAAGATTGAAGCATCAATTCAGAACAATCGTTATTGGTGACAACTAGAGTTAAGTTAAGATTGAAAAGGGCAATTGAAGATGCATTAAATTTGTTCATAAATAATGCCAGAAAATATTTAATGGTAAAGTTTGAAAACACACAGAAATAATAAAAAAGTTTGCGGAGACCTATGAGGCTTTTTTGAATAAATTCCCAATTTAAAAAGTGTAGGTTTGCAGTCGATGGTAGAGATCAAAGGGTTAACAACTTTTCAAAAATCGTGGGTGGGAGGCTGTGTTGGAATGGGTGTTTTTTAGTAAAAATATTGACACTATAAAGTGAAGCATATTTGCACCTCCTTGTAAATCGTTACAAAGCTGACGACATGTATATTAGCTTCATTCCTCGATGCAACATTTTTTTAAAAAAAATAAAATGTGGTTGACTCGGTATAACTAATTTGTCCTTGCCGATTTTGCGTATGGTTCAATTGAAAAATATGAATGGAATGTTTAAATTCAACACAACTG